TCCCGCACCCTCTTTCATGTGTCCACCTGTAAACCCCTTTTTTTCGAATGATTGTCCATAACATTTGATACATCAATTTTCTCGCACTATATTCCTCACACCTGCCCATCAAGGGGGGGACAAAAAAGATAAATACCACTGCATCACAGTACAGATTCTTCCACCCTCAGTATGACAAAAAGATTTAGCTGTCAGAGAGCTTTGGAGCTCATATTTGAAGAGAGTCAGGCACACAGCGATGTGGAAGAAGAAGATGTCACCGAATTTGAGGATCATTTAGATATCCATTCTGATTCTGAAAGTGAATTTGAAGATTTGGACTACTACATCTGTGGTACACATACTGTCAAATTTTGTGATGCATGTGTTTTTGTAAACAGGCATGCCTGTCATTTTTCAAAGGTATCAACCCTGTTGCAAGTATTTCATAAGATAAAAGTTATTGATTGCTGAAGTTCCAGTTTATGTATTGAGAGTTTGCATTCAAAGTAATAAATGTCAATGAAAACATTGTCCCACTTAATCTTTTCCAAGATAAGCATGATCACATAGTGGATTTTTAACATGAATTATAACCTTATGACAAAAAAACGAATAACACTTCTGTTGTTAATTGTGTTCCAGGAGAGACTGATTGCATTCCCTAAACATATATGTTATCTCAATTGTTTGAAATGTAGATAAAGACAATATTTTTAAATAGATTATGAAGTAAAATTTTATTTCACAATGGTTTTTAAAGCCCCATATATGTCACGGGTCAATTTGACCCGAGGGATACCAGAGGGTCCCAAAAGTGAAGACAATACAAGGGTTAAGTCTAAAGGACAGAAGGGGCCAGAACCACATAGTGGACTCAGTGATAATTAATAATTCATTTTCCATTGTGTGCACAAACAGTGCAAACAACAGGATGGATTTGCAATAATTTGTGATTAAAAGCAATCATATTGGGCTAAAACATCACTGTATTAGGTTTAGAGAGCAAAGGTCAAAGGGCGGAACAGCCATGTGGTAGTTACAGACCACAGCCTCAGAGCAACAGGGTTCCTGGTTCGAATCCTGACTTACTTACTTACTTACCTTCTTACTTACTTACTTACTTACTTACTTACTTACTTATTTACTTACTTACTTACTTACTTACTCACTTACTCACTCACTTACTCACTTACTCACTTACTCACTTACTTACTTACTTACTTACTTACTTACTTACTTACTTACTTACTTACTTACTTACTTACTTACTTACTTACTTACTTAC